ATAAAACATTCTGCTAAGAATACAAATAAAATCATGACTTCTAAGTCATTGAAATAATTTTCGTTTTAGAAAACAGCACTAGCGCACCCTTCAATAAAATGACTAACTTTCAAACCATAAGGGTTGTTTGTCTGAAATTAGACTCAATTTGATGAGTTACAGTTACATTTCAGAAAAAACTAAAACCGTATGATTGGTGGAAAAATTCACAGAACTCAATGGACAGTTCCTGAATTGTGCAAAATCAAAACCATAGTTACTGGAATCTCTCCACTGACCTCATGTTCTGGTTCAGAAACCCGATTCCGCATTTCCGTTAAGGAATCTCCACGAAAATTGTTTTTCTGAACCAAGGAAACTCGATTCCTTAATTTCGAAATCTCGATTCGACACATCTTTAGAAACCATTTTTCTAAACCAAAGAAACTCGATTTCTTAGTTTCAGAATCCCAATTTAGCACATCTTTAGAAACCATTTATCGGATCCAAGGAAACTCGATTCCTTAATTTAGGAATCTCGATCCAACACATCTTTAGAAACTTGAACCCATTAATTGTGGGTAGACATTCCCAAATATATCGAATTTGGATTTCAGGGACGATTAAATCTTGATTCCACCTCAATTGGAGTAGAAATCTTCCTTCAAATGCTTCTAGTGGTTGCAGGGTTTCATTATTTTACTTGTGCCACACTAGATGGCCTTTACTTTAAATTTAAAATATAATTGGTAAATACAACACATACAACTAAAAGTAAAACCATGGCGTAGAAATAAATCCTATTTTGTCTTTTTAATAAGGAAGTCACAATCACAATTTAGAAATATTTGCCTTTGTATATAATGACCGTAAGTTCAATAGTCAACAAAATCACTTTAAAATTTGGGAACCTTCTAATAAAAGACATTCAATATAGGTTTGTAAAGTTGATGAGGCTCAAGATGTGCTTGTGGCTTCTTTATCCATAAAAATGAAATCTTGATCCCTAGTAGGGGTTGTCAAACGCATTTCATAGTCCATATTATTGTAAATAATGATCTCAAACAAGCATGGATCTATGATCTATATACTTCAGAAACTTGATTCCAAATATGTTAAAATCACGATTCGAAAAAGCAACATATCTCTATTCCACATATGTCAGAAACTCAATTCCTCGGAAACTCGATTCCGCATATTAATGAATCTTGACTCCTGGAGTGTCGATTTCGGGGGAATGGGAATCTCGATTCCAAGGTGGATGGAATCTCGTTTCCATATATGGATAAAACTTGGATCTATTTCAGTTGAAACAAGATTCTCAAAAACTAGGAATCTCATTCCTAGCGATTCCTATTGTACAGACAACGATTTCTAAGACAGGAATCTTCTAGCTGGCCGTGATTCCGGCTCCTAAAACTATTTGGGTTCCCATGCGTTTCCAACAACTAAGGTCAGAACTGACACCCTTCATTGATGAGTCCATAACTCTTAATTCCCCCAGGATTTCTCACTGAAATTTTGCAGGTACATCCTACTCTAAAAAATACATAATATCACTGAAGTATTCAATAGATAAATACCTCATTATCTTCTTCATATCACTGCTCCAAGACGACATAGAATACCTCATTCTGCAGAGTGCATTTCGGTGTTTGAACATATCAATAATTCTTCCGGAGGTGCATTACTTGACCACAAAAGTCCTTGGCATTCTTATATCTCATTCCCAACTCAACAAAAATAGCGAAATAAAAGAAATAGGGCATCAAGTAGATCTAGTTCTGATACCAATGAAAGTTGGGCTATGTGATCAAGGACTGTGTACATAAATTAAATATTTTTCTTATTCTTACACCGGTAAGACTACTCGCAATGTCCACTTACAAAAAAATAACCCTTGAAACAGATAAATAGAAAAAGAGAAACACAGTTCTCACTTGCTATCACTATTAAATACAATTCCTTAAATCAAAATATTGACTCATTGCTTTATGGGAATAAAAGATCTCAACACAAAAATAAAATTTAAAGAACTAAAATTGCCAAAAATTACCTCAATCGGGCTTAGTATACCCCACGCCGAGTCTCCTCCTTCCGATGGTGCATGGGATCTATGATTGGTCTCTTGATTCTCCTACTTGCGGCAAAACTCCCTCAAAAGCATATGAATATCGATCTAAAACCAACTACCTGAGGCCTCAATGCCTTAGTCTTACTCAAGCCCCTTTGCTTGATCTCTAGAGAGATGAGAGCCTAGAAATCAAAGAGAGAGGGAGAGATCTACTAGCTAGGGGATGCTCCCCTTTGCTACCCGCAAAAATCAAGATTTAAGGCATGCCACATTTTGGAACCCACAAGAGAGAGATGCGATATATCCTAGCCCTAGGCATGCCACCTTTAGAAAGATGGAGAGGCTAGGTTGGGGCGTGGCCCCTTAAGCTAACTTGGGAGAGAGAGATGTATGCTAGGTTGGGGCGTGGCCCCTTAGGCTAACTTGGGAGAGAGAGATGTATGCTAGGTTGGGGCGTGGCCCCTTAGGCTAACTTGGGAGAGAGAGATGTATGCTAGGTTGGGGCGTGGCCCCTTAGGCTAACTTGGGAGAGAGAAATAACTCTTAGAGAGAGAAAAGAAAAGAGTTGTAGAGATTATGAGGTCGGAAAGCCTCGATTTATAGATTTTCTATGCCTTAAGGTTTGTCATAATTAGTATGATCAAAACTTGATTGTCGATCTATGGAGACTTGTGGGGTGAGAGATGTGAGTCATCCATTCCTTTGATCCATCATTAACATTCAAAGAAAGGTGCTAGAACCTTATCCTTCCTTTCCTAAACCTATTCCCATGAAATCTTTAAATAAGGAAAGTATCTCTTATTTTCTATTTTAGTATATTCATTCATTATTTCTTGAATCAAGGAATCTTGATTCACAAGACTTACGAAATATTTCAAATATTTGATTTCATTATGCAAATTGGCCTCATCCAAAATTAGAAAACCAACTTGCATGAGATAACTATCACCTTATTTGTTGATCAAGTAATCCCTATGGGTGGGGCATGCCACCCCTTGGTGTCCACTCATGAGCCCCACCCAATTACCACGGGTAAAATGGGTCCCCATATTTTATGGAGGGTCCCATATAATTTTAGAAAGTATAAAATTTGAATTTTAGAATTTTAAATCTCATAGTTTAATTAAAACATTGGAAAATGACTTTCTCTTGATTTATAAATTCAAATGGCAAAAATAAAATATCAGAAAATACACAAAAATTCAAATAAACATTCTAAAAATCATATAACATAAAATTAATTAAAATTAATCAATTTGATGGGAATCAGATCCTTCTAAGTCTAGGAATTTATCAATACATAAGAGCACTCCACCTTCAACTATAGACCACAATGCACCTAGTTTTCTCAAACTGACCTAGCAATTCCCATGACCCACAGTCCACTGCAGGGGCTCATGATTTGACCACCAAAGTCAGCCAATAGACTAGGGGATGCAATCTTAGTCCGTGGATTTCAGGTCCTCTCCTAAAGTCAAAACCATGGTCCCTCAGACTATGATGCAACCACGGCTCTATGGTGTATAGGGGTAATCTCTCACACAGTACATGTTTCACCCTCGATGGCGGATCGCTACCTCAATACAGCTATCTATGTACATGTCATGTGATGATATAATGGTGAGGTTTTAGCTCTGTCTCTAAAGGCTATTCATCACACACAAGGGTCACACAGTCCCTCGGCTCTCATCCGGGCATACTCCGACCACATCAAAGGCTAACCCACTAAACCCTTCTCGATTACATCCCTATGCCCAGGTACCTTGGGTTTTCCAACTCGACTGGCCTAGCAAGTCGAGCCTAATCTGAGTATCGATAAATTGCATTTGCCTAGTATGATCCACACGAGGACCACACTCCCACGGAAGTTATGTTTCACTATATAAAATGATCATACAAGCTCTCATAAGGCCTTTAAAGGGCACATAAACCCAACAGTCCAAGGATAAGGATTTTGGACATGACTAAGGCCATAACCAATCTAACACTTGGTGAGTCACCAAAAACACACACACCCATTGAAGTGTATAGAAATGATATTTACATACTCTCACGACCTTTAAAGGCCACAGCCCCAGCACAAAAGAATGATGATCAAGTTGTATAGAGAATATTCAATAATACACCATTATAATGCTATGTATTCTTTTACATAGCCCACCATCTACAATGATGAAAATGAAGTTATGTAGCCTAAAACACCAAATGAGCCTTTTGAAAAAATTTCAGTATGGGCTTTTAGCACATGGGAAACAAGAGCTCATATTCCCTAACACATTTCCCTGTAGTTATTGACAAAACTATTGATACCTATAGGCAATCCTCAAATTGAATTTGAGAATCAAGGAAAGAACCCTCAGATTGATCTGCATGGCTTTGATATTTTCCCTATTGTTCTATCATCATTGCCTAGATTTATTTGTTAACGGTGGGTTATGTTCTGCCCCTAAATTGATCGAGGGCACTGTGCTCAATACTAGATCCGTCAAGGATGGGCATGCCATATCTAATTCTTAGTAAGGTTCCTAAAGATTGAGTATCTTAGAATTTTGTTTGAGTCTTCAACACTAAATAAGTCTTAAATCTTTTTATGTGCCAAAGGATTGGGGTCAGATAGAATAATATTACTGTTTGATACATCCTATGATGTGTGCTACATTATATTCAATTTAATAAAAGTTACAAATCAATCCCTTCAATAGAGAACACAACCCCACAGATTACCTTATATGGTGTAAAAACATTCAAAGATAAACCTACAGTCTTTTACGCAATTTCTAGAATCCAATATGATTTATATGACAAGCTGGACTACCAACAGAGATTAAGAAAAGTCTAGTAAGAACTTCAATCAATAATTTAAAGTAATATACAACAATTTAAAATCCTTAAATATTTGTAAGTGGTATGCCTTTTACGTTGGAGATTCAATGAAAACTGAAAATACCTTGTACAAGTTTAATAACAGCTGATGTTATGAATATACTCATCATGTCTTCCAGCAGTGTTTCATCAAAAAGTTGAATAGGTGACCTCAAATCATGCCACGCCATTATGAGGATTGCCTATGCATTAAAGAGGAACTGTTTACATTAGAGATCAGAGAAATGCCAACTTTAGTCAATAACCTCAATCATGCCACACCATTCTGAGTATTGCCTATGCATTAAAAAGGAACTGTGTGTATTAGAGACCAGAGAAATGCCAACCAAATAAGTCAATAGTTGTTCCTTTCAGATACCTGAAGGGCGAGTATAAAGAAGGTCCACATTCGATAAAAGCTTCTGAACAGGTGCATAAATGAGCGAATTTCCACAAAATTAGTCTTGCCAATCCAACATGATTTGTAATCTCCCTTCATAGAAGTCTGACAAGCATTCATGAATAGAAACTTAAGTTCACTGTTCCCAGGCCGATTTCAGCCATAAAAGTCACGAATGGCTTGAAGATGAAGTTAGTACAATCTTGACCATAGTTTATTTAAATTGGGTTTAAACAAGTTGGTATATAACCAAAATGCATTTGAAAACTGCAGAATTTCATATGGAAGAAACTAGACATCAATGAAATGGTAATAAAGATGTGGTTTTGATAAAATACATTGATAATGGGTCAAGAAAATGAAAAGAGCTCTAGCTAGTGATACTTGCACACAGGCGATGAGTGAAAATCACCTCTTCCCACAGATATTTCTATCTCTATATGTTAATTGATTTACATTGATACAATTTACTGGATCAGTTTGACCAGCACATTTTGAGGTTTTTTTTTTTTTTTCAAAACTGGTTGACGGAATAAAGAGAAAGAGAATGTACAAACCACAAGCTGTGGCAAACAGGGCAACCCATAAAATGGGTTCTCAGAGTACAGGGGGAGAGGATGAGAGAACTAAAGACAAAAAAACTAGAAAAATTGAGATTACGAAAACATTTTGAGGATGCAACTCAAGAATGACCAAATTATGACTCAAGAGTAAATGGAGGGCTAACAATTAAAAACTAATAATAGTAAAAATAAAAAAGTAAAATAGGGGGCTACAGAAGATGATTGCAAAATTGTCAGCTGGACGTCATCCAATAAAACAGCTCTTCAAGGACTGCGAGCCCTGCAAATTTTGGATCCCAAGAGATCACCATTTGACAACTTTAAGGATGCATCCCAGACTTAAAAAAATAAGGGAAACAATCTTCAAAAAATCACTGTAGTGGTCAACCCGACCAACTTCACCAGCTGGGTACTTTAAAAAGATCTTTTCAGTCAAGTACGTTCTCAACCATTTTGCTAAGAAATGCCCAAACATGCTCTTTTTTTGGATTTGGAATCCTAAATAAACAGGGTATTTTGGTAATTTGGCCCCAATGAAGTGACCCAAGCCAAACGACATAATTCCCCCACTTGCTCAGGGTTTCAGACCTAGAACATGTTTTTTCATTAAAATCTGTTGTTCCTAGTTATAGGGGCATCTACATTATTTGGCTCATCTTTTGTAGCCTAAGCCAAATAAGAAAAGTAACCTCAGCTGTTGTAGATTCCAAACCCCAAACATGTGTTTCTTCATTAAAATATCTTATTCTAGGATTGTAACCCAGAATGAACAAGTTCCAACTCGTGTCATGATTAGAATGACAAAAATTTCTCTTCTTGTTCAAACTTTAAAACATAGAGCAAGGGCATTTTGGGCATGTTTTGACAAAATGGTTGAGGAGGTACTTAGAGTGAAATGATCTTATACCATTTGCCAATAAATTGGTTGATTTGACTACCTTTGATTTTTGGAGGTGATCCCATTTTAGTGATATTTTCCCAACAAATAATTATAAAAAAAAAAAGCTCATTGAAAGAAATAATTATTGCTTGCACCATCAAGTTTACTCTATCAAAATCACTGTTTATTTTCACATGCTTGAATTATGAATGTGTGAATGTGGTAACAGCAACAGATATCTAGGTTTCTCCATCCAATCTTTGGTGTTCTCGGTCTTCAAGTTCCTTTTCTGTTGTAAAATACACAAGTAAGCAACAAGTAAAAGAAAATGTGTGGTATATTTTGCCAAAAATGTGTGCTTCATTGAAGAACATTGAGCCTCAAAGCCACTGCTTTGACTTCTTGAAGAGTATGGTAAGCAAGAATTTTATAGATTATCCCATGGAAACCTCAGGAAACCCTTGAATACCTATATGTCAGTGTTGCATAACTAATTCTTCACTCAAATATGCAACAATAAGTATGTACATAGAAAACTATGACCTAGTTTTTTTTGGGAGCTTAGCTGGGTCAAACCCACAAACAACATCAAGTGCCTTTCACTTGAGCAGTTCACGCGAACCTTAATGCCGTGTTTGGAAGCTAGAAGTTCCAGAGCCAGAAGCCGGATCTTCCAGCTCTTAGTTTGACAACTAGGAACTGCAGAGCACCTAGAAGTGCACAATTCTAAAAAATGAGAAGTGCACCACCTCCATGTCTCCCCATGGAAGCACGAGCATATCATTGAATAAGAAGGGTGCACTACTCATGGGAAGCTCGCCCATGATCTTTTTTTTTTTAGTTTTTAAAAAATAATTGAAGATGAATTTTTGAGGTTGACTTCACTTTACAGGGCGCATCTATAAAAATATAAAAGGATAGTTTCACAAAAACTAAAATGACCAAAATGCCCCCAATAGGTTTACGGTTATTTTGCTTATTTTATTTTTGTATATGTTATCTATTATTTATGGTTGTGTGTGGCTGAGAAGCATTGATAACCAAAATTTGAGCTCAATCTGGTAGAAAATAAAATAAAATTGACGCGCTCAAACATACTCTCAAAATTGAAATACTCCAGGTTTTCAAAGTTCCTGGTTTATCAAACACAGTTTTACAGATCCGTATACAAATCTTCCAACTTTCGAACCCCAAAACGTCTCAGGTTTCCAATGTTCAGTTGTCAAGCACACTCTAAAGCAATATATTCCCAAAACATTACCAAGCCCACCATAAGATTTCATACTTTTCAACAGGCGTTACCAGAAAATAGAATTCATGTAGAGATGATAACATCATGTATCCAAGAACAAAAACTTCACGCATAGTTTTAAGAAATTGGAAACAAACTTATACGTGTACATATACACACAAATATTAGCTAATGGCACATCGAATGCATGAAACTTTCCTGTTGAGAAATTGAATAAAGAGAAGAAAACTATGAGAATTTGAAACAAATGAATCTGACTAGAATTAACTAGCAAGGATGAAAACAAGTTTGAGGAAATTATAGCTCAACAAACTTAAGCAAATCACATATGGGGAACAATACAAGAAAGAACCATTCAGGTTCAAATAGACTCTTGCTCTGTCTCCAAATAGAGACTGTAATTTTTGGATCACTAAGGAAGCATTGGTTCAGAAAAGATGCCCATATCTATATACGCCCAATAATTCTACCCAAAACAGACCTCCTAAGCCTTGACTCATTTTCTTGCACATGAAAACAAAATATTAAGAACCAGCATTTCAATCCATACTTGGCCTATCACATGAAAATGCAGGTTCCAGCTGGTCAAAGCCCATCAAGCTAAGTGGAGTAAAAGAACTTGTGTTCTAAGGGAAAGGGGTGGCAAAATGTAAATAAATGGGACGATATAGTAAAAAAATAAAAAATAAATATATAAAAGGATACATTTAGAAATCCATTTTGTACAACATCTTAAACCACTTGTGTCCGTGTGTGTGTGTGTGTGAGAGAGAGAGAGAGAGAGATTTTACTTCAAATAATGGATACCATCAAGACACTACAAACCTTAATCTTTCCCTGAACACCAACTTCTTTCAAACCCTCCTGATAATGTGCCTCCGTTAAGGATTTATCCATCTCCAATTCTGCCTGAAAGGCAAATATATATATATATATATCTATACTTGCTAAGTCCAGAAAAAATTTCCCTGCTACTGCTGGAGCAAGTTTTGTACTAAAACAGTAGCACATGAGAGAGAGAGATGTGGTAGAAGAGGGGATAAGAGAGTTGCCACAGAAAAGTGATGAACACGAGAGGTAAAGAGAATGTGTGTATATTCATACACAGAGAGAGGAGGGGGTTGCCTCGAAAGGGTGGGGGGGTGGTTGGGGTGTTGAAGGCCAAATTGTTATAAGTAACAAAGAAGAGTAGACTGATCTTTTGGCTCACAAACTTAGTAAGAAAAGCACGTGTTACCCAAAGTACTTGAAATTGTGCAGTTAACTAAGATAATGATCTTTGTCAATTGTCATTTTCTACTTTCCATTAAATCCTAACTTGCCATGGTTCTTCACACACACGAAGAGAAATTTAAAAAGAAGTACATGCAATTGGGGAAAGTGTTGGCAGTTTAGGAAATAGTGAGGTATTGCTTAGGTTTGCAAAAGTTCTGGAAGTAATAATTGAGAAAACTAGTTTGCACATAAATGAAAATTTCCAATGATAAGAGAGAGAGAGAGAGAGATTCTTAAGCCTACCGGAACACCAACTTCTTCCAAAGCCTCCTCACAATGGCATGCTTCCTCCTTTAACAATTTATCCTTCTTCAATGCCCACTAAAAAAGACAAAAACAAATGATATTGACCAAATTCAGAAAATCGGTGAATTTAATGTTCTTTCTTTTGTCACCAATATTATCACTAACATTGCAGGTGGTACCTTAAACACAGCACAAGAGGAAAAACAGAGAACTTTGTAGAGAGAGAATACAGAAACCGTAGAAGGCAGAGAGAGAGGGAGCGAGGGAGGGAGGGAGGGATGAAATACCTAGAGAAAAGAAAATCAAAAGGTAGGATATTGGGACAAAACAATATAAAAGATATTGGGAAAGAGGTGTTTGGATTTCTAGAAATCTACGTGACTATTGAAGAACCCCTTAGAAAATATGTGATTATCAAAAAATCCAGCAATAGACATTGGATGTTGGAGACCATGGAGAACCAAGAAAAATTAGTAAATTCTTTTATAATGATAAGCTCTTTTTTTTTTTTAGAGGTGAATATAAGAATATTTCTGTTAATATTTTGTCTATATAATTAATTTTTTACTAAAAAATCTTAACTTAAGTATAACTTAAAACTAAACCCTCTAGTTTTAATTAAAATATCTAAAAAGTCCATAATTGTTCCTAAAAAAATAAAAAACCCTAGAATTAAACCCTAAAACTAAAATCAAAATATACATCTTTCAAATTTGAATAGAAATTAAAAGTAAATATAATTTTTCACTCTATCATTCTCCTCTTGCTTGAGAAAATTTGTCCTCGAGTTTTGAAATACGTTAAGATGAATTCAATATCAAAATCACCTTCTTTAACCTTCTTTTTTTTTGTCGGCTCAAATATTACTCGAGGTAAAAAAAATTCCTTAAAATATGGGTCCTGACATGCATATTGAGGAATCCATACAAATTCATCAAATTCAGTAGTTATTTGTGAACTCCCATTGGAAGTCATGTAAGATACTCCTAACTCAATTTTCTGGCCTTTAGAGGCTTTCTCAACATCTATTTGAAAACTTTTTAAAATCAGAGCCATAATTTGTGGTTAAGATGACCACACTTCCATTGCGTTACTCTGACTCCAATGCCCTAAATTTGTTGAACCTTCCACCTCTACAATATTGATCTTCAAAGGGCATGATTTTGATCAGTCCTCCTGCTGCCTTCTCCCCATATTCTTCCCTCTCTTCCAAAATATCTTCATCGTCATCTTGATCCTTATCTTAAATCAGATCTCCTAAAAAATCTTATTCTTCATCTGAGTATATATCGAAGACTGGTGGTAAACCCCAAACAAAGCTTGTTGACTTTCCATGCAATCTATCTCAAAACCAAAAATATCATCCTTCAAATCAAACACCCTAGAGTTATGTTCTTCACATGTAGGTCTTTTGTCATTATCTTATTCACCCCACTCCACACGCAGAGCACGAAGGTGAAAAGGCTTGCACTCGAAATCCTTTTGGGATAAAAAATCATTGTCTTTCCCATTATTAAGGGTCGCGAATTGTTGTGTTAGCTTTTGAAGTTGTTTTTCAAGTTCCACAATTCTACCATCTCTAGGATCATGGAGAGGGTCCACGAAAATACCCTTCCACGACCCCTTCTCGCTGCCATGGGTTCTCCAAAATCACAAACCCTAGGTAAATAATCAAACAAAAATTGCTGAAATCAAGAAGATCTAGGATGTTTCGACAAAATTTAGCCAAAATCAGTAAATCCTAGACCCCACTATAATTTCCCCTCTTTTTTTGTTGACACGGGGCACAAAAAAAAGTGTTGCTACAGTAACTTTCGTACTACTACAGTAATTTCCGTACTGCTACAGTAACTTCTTGTGTGGATCGCGAGCTCTAATACCACTTGATATAGGAGAACTTGAAGAAACCAAGAAAAATTAGCAAGAAACACACAAATTTGGAGGAACCTTAGGGTTTTCTCCCACCTAGGGCTCAAGCTTTAGGCTTCTTTTACAAAACAAAGTCTTTCTTTTCTTAAAAGAGAATACATGAATGACTCTCTAGCCCATTCATGCCCTTATTTATATTAAAAAATTATTATTTTGGATAATATTTTGTCCATACAATTAAATTTTGACCAAAAAGTCCTAACTTAAGTATAACTTGAAACTAAACTCTTAGCTTTAATTAAAATAACTAAAAGTACCAAACTGTTCCTAGAAAAAAAAAAAAACTCTAGAATTAAACCCTAAAACCAAAATCAAAATATACATCCTTCAAAATTAAATAAAAATTAAAAATAAGTATAATTTTTCCCTCTATGAACATGGGATTCAAATTCAATCAAATCCACTAAGTAAATAGATTAATAAAACTGATCAGGTTGATCAAACACCAAATACTTATTGTTAACAATTAAACAAAATGTGACACAAGAAGTCAAGAAAATAAAAGAAAGGAAATGGTGTTGTCACATGTATAATTAATTAAAGACTATCAAGACTGAATGTTGTATTTTGACTTTATGAAAGTTTTATGACAAAATAATTGCATATATTATTTAAATGAATTTTCCATATATGAATCTATTTGTGATACCAAAATATTATCCAAAACAATTATCAGCATGTTAAATCCACTTGTAATTGGGTTTCTAGGATTGGGTTCTTTCCTAGATAGATTAGGGTGGTCTAAGATTGGTTATTTTCCTTTCTGCAAATAAGCCAATATTGGACTAGGCTTGTAAGCCAATTATAGCATAACAAGAGCTTAGGATGCTATAAATAAAGTCTGTAGACAAATAGACAACATAAGTTATTTGTTCTTGTTTAATCAGAAGTGTAAGGCCATATTGGAAGGAGAGATTCCTCCATCTCTAAAGGAATGGTTACTCTATTGGGGAGTGATGCAACAAACCTTGACTCTTAGTTGGAGGGATTCCTTACTAAAAGCTAGGGCATCCTTTCCACTTTTTTCTTATGCAATGCCATTCTATCTCCCCCCCACGATCATTTTCCAAATCATCATCTCCCGTCAACACTAATCTTCTAAACCATAGTCACTGGGATCTTCCAATCAAATGGTCGATTCTACTCCAAAATCTCGCTCGTGCCCTCCAGTCCAAAGAGTCTCACTCCGCTGCCTATTTTTAAACTTGGCATCTTGATCCTTTCTATTAGGGATCGAGATTTTAAGTTACAGGAAATCCAGATTTATTAGAATTGTAGTATAGTAGTACAACATAGCATTGTGTACAGTATAGTAGGATAGTATAGTAGAAGTGTCTAGCAATGTGGTATAATAAAGAGTATTTACTATACAATAAACTAAATTAGATTTCCACAAAGAGTATATACTATACAATAAACTAAATTAGAAGAACATGGTATATTATGGTAGAATATAGTATATAGCATAGCATTGTAGTATTGTATCACAGTAAAATATCTTCTTTTTTTTATGTTAGTATCACAGTAAAATATCATATAGTAATGTGGTATGGTATAGTAGTATATACCATCCTGCTATACTTATTAAGTGCTCGGGAGCTTTGATATTTAACCAGATGGAGCTAGGTCATATAATTTATCATCTGATCCTAATTAAGCTTGGATCAAGCTCCCCCGCCTATTGGGATCAAGATCCGTAGATTTTAAGGTGTATAGACCACAATCCCTACCATAGTGAGCTTCCTGGTTGTCACAATCCCACAATCCCCATCCCAATCCTAGCTCTAATTTGATCCCAGTCCTGGTAACTACGTTCCAAAACAAAGCACTCGACCCTTCCATCCTCAACAACTACAACATCAGCCACACCTCTTCATGCAAATAAAACCTAATCAATTCCAATAACCATATATTTCACCAAACCCTAAAACAAAAACCAAATCATAATCCTTGCTGCCCATCAATCGCAAATCAAGTTAACACACTTAGCCTTAGTTTTCCCCTAAATCCTACTTCAAAGCTCCACAAGCTAAGGCCCCCCAACCCTAATACAAATTCTATTTAGATGAATCGCTTTGGTCTTACAATACATTTTTTACAACCATTTTATGTTGCAATACCTATTACATCAAGATGTCGATGTCAATTAGACTTATTAGTTATTATCAAAAGAATAATCCGATAAAAGGAACAAAAAAATACTCAACATAAATACAAGAATCTCAATGAGGAAGAATGAATTAAAACACATAGAACGGGTCAAAGAAAAACCTTTTTTCTGGTAACATCACAACCAGTTGGCCCTGATACAAAGAAGAAATTTGTTTCGGTACGCATGGGCCAACCTAGTTGGAAACAATCAGGAGACCTGCAAAGAGGAATTAGAATCAACGGGTTGAGGCATAGACTAAAGAAAAAGAATACTAAAGTAATAACTGGCAGACAAAAATATAGGGAGATTCATATGTAATACTAAGCAATATCAGCTGACCAGAAAAATTCATTTAAATCATCATAATTTCTCCACTGGGAATGTCTAGCAGTCCCATTTTTGCTTTTTTGAGCTTCCTGTAAAAGTCGAAGAGAATTACAAAATTTTTTGTGAGTGACATACAATTATAGGGGCACATATAACTTTAAACTAACTCGTACCTCATATATAACTCTGTAGATAGGAGTAACTATATTGTCGAGAAAAGCCTCGGGTCCTCCTCCATGGACTGAAGCTGGTACAACCTTTTCACCTGTAAGCAAACTAATGGTACCAGATAGCACCCCTTGTAGTTCATATGCCATCTGAAACAAGCCATATCCATACCAAAAATTGGAGGAAAATAAGAATATAGACATGCCATCTAAAACAAGCCATGTCCATACCAAAAATTGGAAGAAAATAAGAATATAAGTATCACTTGAGATGCAAAACAAAAAAATAAGAAGAACATAAAACCCACATCTGATGAAGATGAGCATAATTAAATATAAGATTGCTAGAAAACCATAAAAGTGTTCTTTAAAGAGAAAGAGGATCCCTTTTTTTCTGAAAGTTGACTGTTTTTCATTGAATTGATTACTAATATACGAGTATATTTCATTTATAATAATTTTCTATTGGGGTGCTTGATCGTAACACCCTATTTTATAACTTCCTAGGGTGTCATAACAAGAGCAGCCCTTATGACCCTATCTCTTACATGGGAGTAACTTAAGCAAATTATTGCAATTGTAACATCGATTAATAGAGATTAACTGGTCATGAGAATTTGATAAAAGTATATACTAGCAATCCAAGTTTTTTTGTAGCTCACATGCGTCTTATATATATATATATATATATATATATATATATACATATCCTAATCTTACATTACCATAATAACTGCTTCTGAAAAAAACATATACTCATCTTATAACATAATAAATAACAGTGACCCGAAACAAGGATAGGGTTCGGACTTGCCAAGGTCATGTGCCCAAGTCATCCACCGAATTAGCCAAGTCGGTGGTCTGACTCTGCCAAAACTATGTAAAACACAAAGGGGGACCAAGCCTCTATGAGACCTGGCCAAGTTTTGGTCCTTTTCATCAGGATCTGGCACCCTGCTAGGTCTGAGTGACTCAGGCAAGTCCAAGCCCAAGTCACCCATTTTTTAAGCACTAATAAATAATAAAACATGAAGAAGTGCTAAACTGTGTAAATCGGACAGATTAAATACACGTGATAATCACATTGCAGCAGAATAGAATTGTCTCATAATGGTTGTCGATTTTGATTATCCATCCTAATTTTGATTACACATCTTACATGATGAAACATGTAACATAAATACTTTGGCATAAGCCTCAAGTTTGCATCCTCTCCCCATATTATGAGAAGTTTAAGTCCCATATAAAAATTTTGTATTGTGATTCTTCAATGTGAAAAGTTGGCTTACATGATGAAACATGTAACACAGACACTCTGGTATAAGCCTCAAGTTTGCAGCCTCTCCCCATATGAGAAGGTAAAGTCCCATATACAAAATTTTGTACTGTAATTCTTCAATGTGAATAGTTGGCAACCTGTAAATGCAAAAGAAACGAGAGACTCAACCCACTCTTAAAATAAATGGTTATGAAATGCTCTTTTGTTCCCTTTAAAATTGTTTACTAGTATTCACATTTCACTGCTACTAATGGGAAGGCAAAAGGTATGCAAAACGGTTCTCTTACCACAGGTTGTTTTTCCGGCCTAAGAACTTGCACCAGGTCAAATAATTCTTGAACAACTTATTCATAAGTTCATTCAGGGCTCTGTCATCTAGCTGAAAACACAAAGCATTGGGATGTTGATAGCAGCTCCCACAAGTACACAAAACTCAAATTCAAAAATAGCATTACCTTTGATAATAACTTCGGCTTTGGGTTCAGCCTTATGTGTATGTTTGCAAGCAATAGAATCAGATGCTCCCGCTGATTGGCAACATTTCCTTTCTAACAAATAGATGTATATGCTTTAGATTGCATTATATATGACCTTGAGTGAGAAGTATGAGATTTACAATCCATTGTCTTGCATTGTACTTGATGTTGTATTACGTTTTTTTTTTTTTAAAGGGGGGGGAAGGGGGGAGGGAGGTAGTTTAGTGGGGATAGGTCCCCCTATCCATGGAAAGGTAGGAATGGAATTGAAGTCGTCATGTTGTGGCGACAAACCAGCCTGACCACCTTGCCTTGACCCTATTCTTATTATTCGGACAACTTTTCATAGCAAAAGAAACGAAAGACAACAAACCATGAGGGGATTACCTGAAACCCAAAAGTGAACTGCAGCCAATCAAGTAAATCCCTACAATTTTCCCTTTCGTCAGCATCTTTTGGCCAATGTAAACCCCGTATATTGTGAAGAGCTGCAACTGCAGCTTTAATCTGTATCATACAAACAAAGCAAAGCATCAAGACAAATAATGATTTGAAATTAGGAAAATGACAACCATTCATAAAGGCAATTTTCTTTTTCTATCCGTTACATAAATAATTTGGATTCTTTTCACCTCGAGTAACTGCATTATTGCCTGTTCTGCACCTCCAGGATCGAGTGGAAGGATATTGTAGGGAACATACAAACCAGCTTTTCCCTTGACATCTTTACCAGCCGAAAGGACCTACAGTGAATATCACAAGAATTGAATATCTTGATTTAAATTTATATGGAACAATTGTGGAAGTAGCCATCAATATCTTTGCAGACCTCAGGAGCTCCGGATGTGATTGCTGTCCATACTTCAAGCAGAACTGAAGTGATTTCATTGGCTTTTGTGAACAGCTCTCTGAAAGTTTATCATAATAGGGTTAGCCACTACTTTCAGAAGAACTAAAATAGTTAAAGTATGATAAATACAACAATCATTTCAGGAAAATCATTGCTTAAACTTTACAACAAATAACAAAATAATGGAAACACTAGTACCTATTTGCTGACTTAGCTTGAGTGTATTTTGAGTAGTCTTCATAACATTTATGAAGTTCACGTCTTTCACTATTTGCCTTCCTCTTTGATTCAGTGGCTTTTTCATCCTAGTATATATTTCAAACATGTAAAATGCAAATTCATAAGACCTCATATTTAAGTTGAAAAAAAAGGAGGTGTTAGAGATAACTAAGAAACAAACATCCATAATAAGGCTCAAAAAAGTTGGGGATAGCCATACTAACATTAAATGGAAATTCAACAAAATAAATAAAACATCATGGGCAGAAGCGTATGTGTGTGTGTAAATATGAAAGTGTCAGAAAACACTATCATGAGAGCCTGGAAATGGCAGGAGTACCTACCAAACTTTTGGCATGTGAAGGATGCTATGAATGTCATGAAATTCATTACGAGATAAATCCCACTAAAAAGACAACAATACAACATTCTTTAAGCTTAATGAAGAAAGATGATGCCAAGTTGCGAAAAAGCTGAATGATAAACTAGAATACAAGAAGAACATATCTGTTCATATGGTTGTGAATAAAAAAATTGCAATCCAAGTATTCAAGTGATGGAACCAAACATGTAATATCATTTCTTTGCTTCAGTGGTATAAGTTTTGCACATAGATACCAGATAAATCTTCCAAGTAATTGCATAGACCTTCAACAACTCATCCATTATGAAGGATATAATCTTATCAAAATAAGTTACAATCCTAACTGAGCTGGGATTTTGGTTTATCAAAGATTGAGATGTTCATGCAACCTCTGTCAAACTCCATATAAGTTTGAGATAAATGGTAGATGGTCTTTGTTAGGCACAATGCCCAGAAATTGGATATAGGAAAACATCTAACCACATAAACCTTAGCTTATTTACGCTTGCATTAGTATCCTTGGTGAGAAAGAATTTTTAATAGTTATGAATCTACCAATATAATACAAAATGACAAGAATGTCAATACTCTCCCTCAAACTGGTTCAATGGAATCTCAATTCAATAGTTTCTCAGTGGTGAAATCATGTCAAAATCAGGTGACAAACACATTTATGAGCACCGCAAGCAAGCAGTTGAGTCTTAGATAGGACATATGGTGTGGGAATCTGCCCAAAATTGAGTTCATTGATAAAATGGCAGCACATCTCTCAAAATTGGATTTCACACAATACTTTGTTATAAGTATAACTAGATTTGAGGCGGCAGTAGGAAATTCCAAATTGCTAAGAAAGGCACACGGCCAAATGATGCCATTTTTCTATCAAATCAATGAACTAAGGACAAATAACATATTAAAGCTTATGATGAATATTTTAATATTAGGGCAACCAGCGCATTTGGCATCAGCATTGACAATAGAGAGTCAGGACAAGTAATACAACGTTGCTGTGAAATATAAAGGGATGTGATACACATGGAGTCAGGATAGGACATAAGCTCTACAGGGAGTGAGGATGAAAAGAATGAAACAATAAACAAGGTTGCCACTGCATAGATAATGATGTGACACATAGGGTTCATGCGGTCTTGTAGAGACAGGGAAGATTGAAAATAAATTAGTTCAGTAAGTCAAATTTGTGTTCAGCATCATGGGTCAAAGTCAGCCAATGCTCAAGACTCTCACATAGAAAGGCAACCTCATATTGTCCCCCCATCATATCTGCTCTTATCATCTAGAGTATTTATTATTCAACTCCAATGTAGTATTAACCATTTCTATAGCCATGAGATGAGCAAGAGAAGAGAAATATTGGGCCTACTATGGGAAACCCAACAACCATGAGGTTATTTGAAACTTCAAGCCCTCTCATATAACCAAGATTCATCATTTTACATTTGGTTTGCACAACTTTATTCTCTAGAATACCTTCATTTGGTTTGCAAAACATGCTTTTCTGGATACATTCTACACTTGGTTTGCACAACAAACGACACATCTTTTATTGTGTGTCTTATAAATAAAGTGTGGTGATATTCAGGACATTAACGATAATCGAGTGATGACAATAGGAAACATTTGATAATGTTGTTGAAGGCCATACAAGGCCTTAACAAGTTACAAACCAGGTGAATTAAGGATGCCAAAATGTAGGGCTACACAATTACATTCCATCATTTATAAGTATCCGTGGAGGAAGGCGTTGTCCACATATATTTAAAGGGCATCCCTGTTAAGAATTAGTAAAGCTTGCAACAAAAACCATACACTAGCCTTACACACTAGCATATCCTAATTTTACATAGTTTTAAGAGTTGTGAAAGAGAAATCAGTCATGGGAGCTTATGTTTTCTCTTTTCCACTAATCTGATAAAACAGAAAATAACAAAAAGCATTAATTAGATCCTTGTCAACTGAATTTATTTGGTTCCTGTACATCTTAAGCTTTGATCTAAGAAATGAATGAGAGATGTGAACTGTAAACCTGTTAACCCAATAGAAAGAGAGGGCTGAGGAGCATGGGAGAATTTGTATGGATAACATCTAAAGGAAAACATTTTTCTTTGGGTTAATCCTTTTGTACATTAAAGTGTCCTATGATATGTGGTTTGATACCTTGAAGACAAGTCCCAGAAACACACAGTCATAAGATTTTCTGAGAATGTAAAGAGTAGTTTGATTTTGTATCAATTTTTAGCAACCGTTTCTTTTTTACCCAAAAACTATATGTTGTGAGCTGTGCCGAAATGTTTGTTCGATTTTCATCCACCATTTCTGAAAATAGTCCAACAAAAAGCAAATTATAAACTTTTTGGGGTTGTAAATAGTTGGGGTATGGACTAACTTCTGTAAATCTTGCTCTACTTTCTCAAACTAAGCTCCTTTCACATTATAAAACATGAATTTGTAAAATTTCTGCATCTGTTACTGGCTTCCAATGTACAAAACAACCCAATTCTGCAATTGATACATCTATGAGCAAGATATGATAATTGGGCACCTCACTTCTTGCGACTGTAAAAGGGGAGTAATTTCAGAATTACAGAGAGAGAAAAATGGAAAGTTGGTCCAATTCACTATGTAAGGTGTCCATGCACTACCCTTTTACAATGGTGATGTTGCAATTTCAAATGCCCTTGGAACATGCATACAGAAAAAAAGCGAAGAAAGAAAAAAAAAAGCGCAGTTTCTATAAGGCTGAGGTCTTATGGAAAGTTAAGCCTCGTCCCCAAGTCTTGTTTGGGAAATAATTTGGATGGAAAACGGCTTCATAGAGCTGCGGCCCTATCAAAATAAGTAAAAGCCTTACCTCATAACTCATCAAAAATTGTAATTCACGCATAGAAAAACTTTTACATCGATCATATTGGCTTGAATATTATGATTGTCGAAAAAAAATTAGGATTTCAAACTCGAGAAATAGTATATGTTGTAACAAATTATTCAGACCGTCTATTTCGCCCTAAAAAGAAGTGTTCATAAATCCATAAGATTTTTACCCTTTTTTTGAGTTTTCAATTTCATTGTCGGTATTGGAAATTGATTTTAGAGCTATCATGGATGTTTTAATTGCCAAAAGTGTTTCTTGGATGAGGATTTGAGGTGAGGCTTTATTTTGTTTTCATAAAGCCTACTTATAGAAACCTCATGATATGGGAAAGGATGATAAGGCCTAGGTTTTATGAAAATAAAATAGAGCCTAACCTCAAATCCTCATTTGCAAAGCATTTTCTACAACGGAAATCTAAAAGATGACTCTAAAATCAATTTTCATCACCGTCAATAAATTTTGAAACTCAAAAGATGAACAGATCTTTCGGATATGCGAACACTTATTTTTAGGGTAAAATGGACGGTCTAGATAATTTGTTATAATATACACTATTTTTAGATATTGAAATCCTAACTTTTGTTCACAACCATAATGTTCAAACCAAGATGAAGGATGGAAAAGTCTTTCAATGCTTGAAATGTAATTTTTGATGAGTTATAAGGTGATGCTTTGCTTATGAAACCATTTTCCTATAGGGAAATCCTAATATGGCTCTAAAATCTCTTTACACTACTGATTATGAAATTCATAGCTCAAAGAATGTGGTACATATCTATAATATGACTTAAAAACTGTTGTTCTAGAATCTAGATAACATGTAGAAATATATATTTTTTCAGAGCTTGAAATCTTATCTTTATTTTCACAACCTAAAATTGTACGTCTCCAAACAAAACTTAAAAATTTCACAAATGCCTCTATTTGGAGCTGGGAAACACGAATAATCACAATATTTTAGTAATTTTACTGCCAAAACTGAGTGACAAAAGTAGCTTTCATTATTTGGAGTTAGAAATACCAAATAGCTTGTTCTGGATTTGAAATGAATAACAATAAGCGGTGATTACTTCATTTGACACAAGAAAGACAAAGACTTAAATGACATAAATACCCATTATTGTTCATCATTTTAAATCATGACAATTTGTTTGTTATTTCTAATTCCGAGCAAGTTAAGGTACTTTTCTCATTATGTTAAGCCCTATTTAGGGGATAAAATTACTAAAATGTAGTCAATTATTTGAGCTTCCCAACCCCAAATAAGGGCAATTAGGGAACTATTAAGGTGTTTTCTAGAGCATACCTGATTGAAATAAAAATTTAAAAAACAAACTTAAAATATAAATTGTGATCGTATGACCCCTCTTTAGTGATTTTTTAGGGGGTTTCAACCTCTAGATATTTTCCCTTAAAACTTCTATGTGCTTAAATACATTATACTCTCTATAGCACACAAAAGTTGGCAGTGAGTGCTCCTCAAAATGTTATTGATTTGGTAAAAAATGGGGATGAGCCTCCATGGGATATGTTGATCACCCTTAGCCCATGCAACAACATTTGTTGAATCCTTGTTTATGATTATGTCATTGTTCTGCTTAAGGGTACGTTGGAGGGTAGTCTAATATTCTAATATTCTAAGATAATATAAAATCTTATGTAATTCTAATCGTATGAGTTTATAGGCCTTGTTTGATAAGATCAAATCATAACTTCTAATATTTAGATAAGTCCTAAATATCTGAATCTCCAAATATTCAGCTTGCAGCTGGATTTGAGTTTTATGTATAAAATTATTGCATCTCTCTCCCTCTTTTATCCACTCATCTCCCTCTTTTGTCACCTCACCCCCCCCGCACTCATCGCTCTCAATCTCAATCTCAATCTCAATCTCCCTCTCATGGGGGATCGACACCCCTTCCCTTTCTCTCTCTTAATCTCTCTCCTTCCATCTCATAGTGGATCACCCTCTCAATCTCTCTCTCTCTCTCTCTCTCTCTCTCTCTCTCTCTCTCTCTCTCTCTCTCTCTCTCTCTCTCTCTCTCTATTGGTGGATTGCCAATGAAAGCATGATGAATCGCAAAAGAAAGCAACCCAGCCTCTCTCTATAAACATTAGGATTTCAATCTTATGCTCATCTGCTCTTCTTCAATCTTTGTTGAAGCTTGAGCTTTAATGGCGGATGGAAAATAAGTGACCCATATGTCAAGCTTTTTCAAGACCAACATTATAATGCCTTGGATGATTTCAAGCTTTAGCACGACCCATTTTAAAGCTAATTTAAATTTCCAATGGTTAAGACTAGATCAGATAACCTAGAGACGAAAGACCATTGTTTCTCTTTCAAATATATGTGAGAGGTCAAACATGCATAAAAAAATAGAATACGGAGAATATATAATCTTAATATATGGAAAACCTAGCAATGCCTTTATTTAAATAGAAAATCTGAATTTTAAGATTCAGTTTTGTCAAACATACCCCAAAAAAATTCAAATATTCTAATTTTTGAATTTTGTTTTCATTACTCCTCCCTCAGAAGTCTCCCTATAAGAAAGCTCTTGCCTCTGCCTCATTAGCCGAGACTAGCAAGTGGCTCAAGCACGTCAATTTGATATGACCATTTGAGTCTCTTACTAGACCTCTAAAATCTGTTAGCCCGGGATTGCCCATTGAGCTAGTCCTTTCGGTGGGAGTTACCCAATGGGCAATCCTGATTTCTGATCTCAATCTTGGGCGTAATTGAAGTGCCTCTTGTGTTTTCAAGGTTATGTTAGTCCTCTGTAAGCCAAAATACTCCTTTGATATTGAAGCCCATTCAGATAAGGTCCTTTTCAAGAAACTTCAACTTGATTTTCCTTCTATAGATTTTCACATGGGGGATTTTAATTATCTACTTTCCCCACTATGTTTTTCTTGAAGGGTGTGGTTAACATAAGACTACACTCTAACCATGTCACAACATGCAGTTCGACAATGGAAGTCCCAAAAACCTAATGATCGACTAAAAATTTAACAGATTTTTAAACACTTTGAAAAATGGTCGGTTCTGATAAGCTAATTATTTAATTTTTTTGGTAATCTTCAGTTATTTTTAACTATCTCTCGCTAAAAACATGTGATTTCCAGCGAATGACCATTGAATAAGCTAAAAAAACTTCGAGATGAAATTTATCTTAGATAACTTTATAATAGAAACTGCCGAACAACAAAAATTCATTATTTGAATTAATTTATTAAAACAATCATCCGAACGTGACTTTGGTATATCATGGTATTTTCTTAGTTGACTTATAAAAAATCTCCTCTATATTGGATTCTCCATGTCAAATATTCTTCTAATTTGATAAACAATGTAAGTCATTTATTCATGAGGGCTACATGACAAAGTAGGTATTGCTCTAGTTTATTGTAATACTAAAATGAATCATATAATTACCCGTTCGAGCCTTTGCAGAAGAAGAGTTTTGAATTGTCGAACTTTACGACCTGTTGAATGAGGATCCATGATGTGTGCTCTTTCTAGGGCATGGACACGGCCTGCCCATCAAATTTCAAAACAGAAAATTCTTCACCAACTTGTGGCAAGTTCAACAATCAACTATTCAAACATAAACATCAGTGATTTAAAAAACGAATCTATGACCCGGATCAGGCAATCCAAAAACTGGTCGGCATCGTCATTTTATTATACGAAAAAAATAGTGAACCGGTGAAAAAACACGTGCAAAAATGGTGAATCGGCTAAAACCCGGTCCGGATTAGTGAATCAACGTTTTACTGTAGCAAAACATTGTTTTACTGTGGCAAATCCCTAGTTCTTTTTTAAACCCGGATGATTTCTTAGATTTTGACAAAATCAGCACGAGGTGACCGATTCCTGAGTTGGATCCGGCGATTCCATTCTGACGCGACATTGTTTAAATCACTCATAATCAGTAGAGAAGAAATATTTGTATAGTCCTTATTCATAAGAAAAAAGTTTATCTAAGGATGAGGCTCTAAATAATCAAATTAAGGCGCACCTACAAAATCCATTAGAAAAGATTGTTTTTTATGTTGAAACTTTCAATAAAATCATCTCGACCTCAAGATGTATGGATATGAGAAAAAATAAATTTCAAATATTAGAAATAATGTATATTGTAATGTATTATCTAGACTGTTAATTTTTAAGATTTTTAAGTGTTTATAGATCTGCTCGATCTACACTGCTTTTGAACTTTTAAATTTTATAATTAGAAATAAAAAATAAATTTTCAAGCCATCAAATATTTTTTATACTTAAACAACGTGTTTTGGCATTATTTGAGGGTGCACCCTACTTTGACTGTTTAAGGCTTCAGCCTTATACAAACTACACCCTATTCATTATGCTTTACGGATATTGTTCATTGTGTTTTAGAGATAACATGGTGTCTAGACCATGGCTTGCCAAAATCTTATTCTGATTTTGGCCCTTTTAGTTCGTAGTGTGCCCTAGAAAAATACTATAGCTGTAGTCCATATTATAGATTATGGTCTATGAGTTCATCCTATAGTCTAAAAGCTATATAACGTAGACCATATAATTTTTTTTTATTCATAGACCATATAATATTCTCTTGATATCACCCTTGTATAATCCACATACTATGACTCTATGACCCGTACAACTTTATACGACTCGTAAAGATTGGATGCTATGGACTATAATGTTTCTATAGTCCACCTAAAGTTAAAAACTATATGAAGATATCATTTAAGTGGTCGGGTCAAAAAATCCCAATTAAAGAAAAGAATCCAGGCTTAATTGGTTAGTGCTTGACAATTAGCAAGGCTACATCTTAGGCTCAATTCCTACCTACGGTAGGGCTCCTCTCCCCATCATAGTTAGCAAATCGAGTACTATCAATAGATCGGCTCACCATAAAATCGGAAGCAAATCGTTTTTATTTTAAAAAGTCGGATGAAAAATCAGGTAAAAAATGTAGATCAACAAAAATACTTCATCTAAAGTTATTGCTAATATATCGGATTAGAATAAAAAAATCAGAGTAAAAAAATTGGATAAATTTATAATATTAGAAATTTTGAAATTCTAAAAAATAAAAATTATGTCAAAGCCATCAATAACTAATTCATCCATAAAAACTTTACTAGAATAATATAATTAAGTCAATTAAGTTAGATGCCCCGTGACTCTCATCCAATCATCCAATATTAAATACATAATTAACTAGTATATACCAAAAAAAAAAAAAAAAAATCTGCCCATTAAATACTATAAGAAACATCACACCTACTTATTACATACCAAAAACAAATATACTATATAAATTTATTAATTAAGTACTTTAACTATGGTATGGTGACAAATATACTATATAAATTTATTTATTAAATACTTAAACATCACACCTAGTTAAAACATCATACCTAGTTAGCGGGTACCGAAAAAAATTACACGATTTTTGTTTTCTCATTACAATGATTTAACTATGGTATGGTGATTATGGTCTCTCCATAACTATCGTTAAAGTTTTATAAATTTCTTTAATTGAAAAGAGGCTCGTAAAAATTTGAGTTTCATGTCTCTGTGTTTACAGTTTAGAGAGAGAAAAGAAGGAAGAAGGAAGAGAAGAAAACAAGGCTGGGCCCATAGCCATTAGGGTTTATAGAGAGAAAAGAAAGAAGAAATGGTTTATAGAGAGAGAAGAAGGAAGAAGAAAGAGGTCATTGGCTTCACAAACCGTAATGGAAGATGCCCTAACTGATTTTTAGAGAGAGAAAAAGAAGATGGGATGCTGATTTGGGATAGTTTGAAGAGATGTTGTTTGAGAGAACGCCCTAACTATACTGATTTGCGAAGAGGCCATAACTAATTTTTAAAGAGAGAAAAGGACAATGGATTTTCATTTTCTTGGGGAAACATCAAGCTGAAGGATTAAGTTTGGGGAACTAATCCTATATGTACAATTGCTTGCTCCTGTAAATTTACAATTTACACTATATTGTTTATCTTTATTACCACATAATCAAAAACAAAATATTGACTACTTGATCCTGTAGTCACACTCTCTGCTTCTCATTCATCAGTAAAAGGCTATGTTTTGAGCTCTAATTTGTGCCATAAACAGTATTTTCATAAAAATAATTATCACAAATAATCATATAAATATGCATGTATATGATTTTCTTTACACAATGATTTACTTTACAAAATGATTTGCTATATATAATATTTCATTTACACAATGATTTCCAAAATAACAACTGAAATCTGCATATATTTGTTTAAGTTTTTTAAAAAAAGGGAAAAAAAACCCTTCAATCTGCGACTGTGGCTTTGAAAAACACAGTGGGGATAAAAGTTTTTATTTTAGGTTTTTTTTTTGAAATAATTTTTTTTTTTCAAAAGCAAAGTAGTAACGGCCACAATACACAATACAAGAAAAAAAATTATCTTTCAAAAAAGAAAATTATAGGTAAAAAGAAGCTATGATTTTTTGGTCTGATTTACATCGTATTATGAAAAAAGTGTGTTTTAAACGTTTTTATAAAAACTACGCGATTTTTTCCTGACCTTTTCAAAAAGTCACTTATTAAAACTGTTTCCATAAAAATGCTTATTTTTTTAAAAAATTGCCGATTAAATGTCGATTTGCTAATATGCTCCCCACTGACTCACCAAAAAAAAAGAAAAATCTTTAAATTAATATTAGATGGTTTATTTTTTAATTTTTATTCTCCTTAAAAAATAAATTTAGAAATATCCAAATCGTCCAAGTTCAAGATTGGAAACACTAAACAAGTATAAGCATTTAAGTAAGGTGCGGTTTGTATAAGGGCTGGTCTCTAAACAATTGAAGTAAGGCGCAATTTCAAATACTATCGAGAAATGTGGTTTCCATACTGGAAATCTTTGTGATAGCCTTAAAATATATTTTCATATTTAATTATAAATTTTAAAGCTTAACAAATAGTGTAGATTGAGCAGATATATGAAAATCTTGAAAGTTGATAGTCCAAAAGTACAATACAAGATGCAATATTTTCAAAACTTGAAATCCATTTTTTTCTCTTATTCATGCATCTTGAGGTCGAGATTATCAAATTGAAGATATTTATTCATCAAAACACCCTTTTCTAGTGAAATTTTTGAGTTGTGGCCTAATTTGATTGTTTAGCGCCTCACACTTCTATAAACTTTGTCCTTTTAAGTAAGGGTGTAGTTGGCATACGGATACATAGCTGTAGAGGTAAGGTGCGCCTTCAAATTTTATCATGTTATATAATTTTGATATAAAATATTCTTAAAATTATCTCAAAATCTATTTTTATATCTAATTATAAAATTTTAAATTTAAAAAATGATTAAAATCAAGTAGATCTATAAACATATGAAAATCTTGAAAATGGACCATATAGATAATATGTTGTAAAATGCACTATTTTCGAGACTTAAAATCTTTTTTTTTTTCATGGTCATACATATCGATGTTGAGATGATCAATCAAAAGGTTTTTCAACATTAAAATTACCTTTTTCGATGGATTTTTGAGTTGCATCCGTAGCTCTTTTTCCTTTAAGTAATATTTGTGATTTGATACAAGCATGGATACATTCGTATTTGGTTGATGCCTCTTAGGTGAGTTTGATTACTAAAAGGTCTTGCTTGTTTAAGGTTGCCAACTCAGAATAGGGACAATCTAGGAATTTTTAAGATGTTTTTTAGGAGTTTCTTTGGAAATATAAAAATTAAAACTGAATTATCTAATTGAGATGTTTTGACTCAACGATTATGTAAGGGGTTTGATCCTTCCATGATATTATCCCCCTACCACTGGGATCTCTCTCTCTACTTAAAGCTAGGAATATTTTCCTTCAGGTTCTTTAGAGTGATTTACATACGGATCTAAAATTTTTTTTAAAATATAAAATGCTTTATTTATAGGTGGAACTTATAAAAAAAAGTCAATCGACTCGTTTTTTTTTTCTTTTCAAAATTACCCCTCGATCCAAAGACATCTTCAAACCGAATTTTATTTATTTTCTAGTTTATTCATTAGTAGGGCACTACCCTAAAGCTTGGGGCACTGCTTAAAACACTAAAACAAAAATTAAAATTCAGACCTAGGATTCCATCCTTAGATCAAGATGCAATTTTGGGAAAAAGCGGTTGACCGACCTTCTTTATAATTTCTTCTTATAAACTAAGCATTTTGTATTTCAGGGTGTGCACGTAAATCACTGTTATTTGTAAGCATTTCGTATGTCGCATTTTGTATTTCAGGGTGTGCACGTAAATCACTGTTATTTGTAAGCATTTCGTATGTCCTGATGGTTATCCATAGGACCCAAAACCCCACCCGCCACAAATCATTATCAGCAAGATCTCTAAAGGATGAGAATATTTTCCTTCATGTTTTTATAAGGTTGGAGACGACCAATTCCCATTCATGATGCATGTTTTTCAGACATAGAATTCTTCTTCTTCTCCTTCTTTTTTTTTTGGTATTTTTTATTTTTTATTTTTTTTTGGGTGAGAGGGGGGGTGG